ACACACCTGCAGCCCCTGGCCGGCCTGGCCTCGGTGTACCTGGCGACCTGCTGCGACCTCATGACAGGCGAGTACCGCGCGGCCGCCGCCCCATTCAGCTTGCGCCTGCTGGAGGCCGCTGAGCGGCTGCTCAGCGTGGCCGAGCCGGCGCTGGCGGGGTTCAGGGCGGGAGAGTGGCCGCGGCTGCTGCCAGAGGTTGGGCAGCTCGATGCCCAGCTGGCGGCGGCGCGGCGCCTGCTGCAGCATGAACTCGAGCGGCGGGAACCGATGCATCACGGGGCCGGCCATGGGGGCGCGCCGCGGCCTGCGGCGACCGCCGCGGGCGGCGGCGGCGGCGGGACGAGAAAGGCCGGGAAGAAGTGCAGAAAGTAGATTGTTCGTTTGCCAATCTTGTCCAAGGCGAGCGATGGGCTGCACTTCTACCTGGAGAGACAGAGAAACAGTCTGTGTGGATGGGCAAGAGGGAAGCCAGCTAGCGGGGGCCAGAGCTGCTGAGTGGCCCCTTCATGGGTGGCCACCCAGGTGATTGGGAGCGGGCCGGTTGCCTCGTGGCACTTCTGACGGTGTGTGCGCGCGCTGCTCAGCCCTCTTGGGCGGGAGGAGCACCCAGCCGGGCCCAACAGCTCTGCGAGCCTGGATGGCGTGATGCATGGAAGTCACTGCGCAGGCTCGGCACTTCAAGGGCAAGTCCCAAAAAATCATCAAGGATGCCAGCGCCGTTGTACTATTAGTTTCAGTGTTTCCCCCCTACTCTCGATACCGTCATGTGCCTTTGGGCTTGTCAAGCTGGGCCTGTGCCAAATCCTCTTGCAACGTTTTTGTTCCTGCTGTGCTTTCCAGGCATCCCTGCTGTGCCTCACACAGGTGCATGATGTGGGGCGGTACAGAGGCGGGGTTCCTTCTGCGGACCCTGAACCGGTCCGCCACGAGCAAAGTGCGGCCATGCATGGCGTGGGGTCTCCGGGCGTGGCCTTTGGCTTGCCCTGCGCCAAAATGGACTGCAAACAGCCCCTGCTGTTCGAAGTGGTAGCAGCGATTACAGGCTAGGCCTGCTTCTGTGCATACGTTGATGGCAGAATTGCATGCTGCAAACAATTGAATGTGTACGGGTACGTAGCTTCAGGCCCGCGGTGTGGTGGTGGAAGGCAGACGCCAGCATTTGTGCGGCCGCGTTGTGTCGTTGCCTGCGGATTAGGGACGCACTGGTGATATTCAAAGCAGGTCAGTGCAGTACATGTTTCCGAAGAGCATCTGCAACCCCGCAAGTGTCCTGCGGACGTGCAGCCTGTTGCTTGGTGATGACGTGTGCACGCAGGGGTACCACCCAGCTCGCACTTGTCTGGGCTCCGAGTTCCTCCGGCCCCGCCACTCTGTAACAACTCAACAATTCAAGCCACAGCACCCACCACAGCATGATTACCAAGCTTGTGTTACAAACTATTATCGCATGACTACAGCTGCCCGTCATGCTTAGCCAAAAGGTGCCCGCCCAATCTGCAGGATTTCAACCTGCAGGAAACCCCTGGGAAAGTTTCCCCTCCCCAAGTGCTGAGTCGCAATCATTTGCATGCTTGTGTGCTGTGGTTGCGCTGACTCCTGATGTTGGTGTGAATTGCTGGGGTGTGCTGCACGCTTTTATCAGTTGCTTTATTCACATTACATGATGTCCCAGATCATCAAGCTGCACGGTCCCTAGGTAAAGGGGATGCCTGTCGTGACTCAGGGTAACGCAGCGTGCAGCTCTCTCGCCCCAAGTGGCCCCACGCCCGCGCTTTGCTTGGGCTTCTACTGGGGGCCTCTGCCTCCTTGGAAGCCTGCCCTTCATGATTGCAGAAGAATTTGCGTTGCTGACTCATGAAATAGCGTTTGTGGATATCTGCCACGCATGTTGGCCGGAATCGCATTACCATTCTGCCATGGAGCCTTGGGCCAAGGGCAAGACTGCGATGGGCACAACGTCCTGCATGCGCAGTTGCTCAAGCGAGCCGTACACTTGTAATCTGCAAAATATAAACACGCGAGCTCACACAAGAAACACATAAAACATGCATGCTGCATGCAGTGCGCATGCGGCAGGTAGTCCAGGCTTCCAACCCTTGATACAGCAACCTAAGAGTGACGCACATGCGTGTAATGACAGAAAAATCTAACGTGATGTCACTGCCACTTCATGCGTGCCAGGCGCGCGCTCGAGCCACAAACACCAAGACAGAAGCACGCTCTCGACGCCGCCCCTGACCCCGGGATATTCCCGCAAGCTGCCGTGCCATCCGCCAGGTCCCACAGCCGGGCCCGGGACCTTGCACACGTGTCGGGCTCATCAAGTCATCGCCCCTGCGCACAACAGTAGCCTGCCGCAGAATCAACTCTGAGCGGCTGCTAACAGGCAGCGGCAGGACCCCCGAGATGTGGGTCCAAGCCGGCAGGTCGGGGCCTAGTTGGCCTATCGATTTGGTGCGTCAGTGACTGTCGGTCGCCGACCCCCTCCTGCAGGGCTGCGGGTAAGCAAGACACCCTCGCGTGCAGCGACGTGTGCGCCTGCACATGTCGCTCACTGCAAGACCAGCAATTCTAGAACCCCTGCCTTGCAGAATCCCGGGTCGCGTCCGACGCGACGCGGCGACCCCAGAACCGCCTGCGATCACGCGCGCGCCGCAAGGCGGGCCATGAGCGGCACCGCCCTGTCTGGCAGCGACAGGGGCGCGTAGGTCCATGGGATGGTGGCCGGGTCGGCCAGCAGCTCCAGGTCGTACCCGCGCACCAGGGCCGCCAGCAGCGCCTGCAGCAGAGCAGGGGGGGGGGCAGTGCCAGTTTCGTGGAGGGGCCGGTCGGCGGATATGTTGGTGGAGGCGGGGTGTGGGGCTCTGTGAATCGCGGACGTGTGATGGCGAGGCACGCGTGGATGTGTGTGTGTGTGCACGCGCGCGCATGCGTGAAAGTGTGTATACACGTGTGTGCAAGCGCGCCAATCAATCCCCAGGAAGCAGAGCTTGGTGCGGCAACAATCCCTGACCCTTGCACCAACCCCTCCGTCGTCGCCACACAATGCTGTCGACCCACCCCCCTTTGCCGCCACACATCAAGCCACAAACTTGTGATTGTCAAAATCAAATCAAACCAGAAACCCCGATTGCCGCCAACTACTCGGCCCATGCGCACCTTGGCCTCCAGCATGTATAGGGTCGTGCCCAGGCAGGTGTGGGGGCCGTAGTGGAATGTCAGCATCGTCGGCTTGCGGCCGCCGACGCCGCCGGCCAGCCAGCGCTCGGGGCGGAAGACCTGGGGTCACACGCCAGGGCAGGGAGGGCGGCGGGGGAGGGCGCGCGGCACAAGACGCGGTGTTGGTGCGTGCAACGAATGTTGCGGCGGCGCCGTAGGCCGGCGCTGCGAAAAGGCTGAGGAGAGGGCGAGCGCAGCTCTTCTAAAATCCGCGCAGCAGGAGCAGCCGCTTCCTGCGCCCGTGGTCGACGCCCGCCATCCCCCAGATCACCCATGACCGTCCAGTCCAAGCTTGCCAATCCCAACTCGGTGCCCAGCTGGCTGGCTGGCTGCCGACTTAGGTGGCTGCCCGTGGCTCCCAGCTTGCACTGGCCCCACGGTCAAACCAGTCAACCGCAGTCGCTTGGCGTGCGGGCTGCGCCAACTCCCCCCCAGCCACACACCTGTGAGAGGTAGTCTTTGTCCAGCACCGCGGGGCGGCCGGCCCGCGGCAGCGGCACTGTTTGGCGGCCGAAGAACTCCGCATCCTCCAGCATGTGCGCGGCCTGCGGTTGGGGAGTGATTTGGGGGGATGGAGGGGGGGTCAAGCCCGGTGCGTGGCGGTGGTGACGCATGGGAGGTGCTTAAACGTGGTAGTTCTCTCATGGGGCAACATGGGAGCTTGCCCAAGGATCCGTATCCACAGTCGTGAGCGATTAGGCACAAGGTGATTGTGGTATGCAGTGCTTATTGGCTGTTCGTGGCGAAGGTGATTAAGGTGGGCTGAATCCTCAGCAGGTGGGTGTATGTCATTGCTGCCGTTTGTGAGCGTATGAATTGCAGCAAAGGGACGGGGCAGTGTGTTGTCACATGCATGTGCGCATACGCACACGCACCGCGCGAGCTAGGGCCCGAGTTAGGGGTTTTGCTTGAAAAACGGGGGGCTGACTGTTCCCTTGGGCCACCGCCTGGGCCGGGCGGCGCACTGCTCAAGCCGCGGCTTGGCGTTGCATATTTGTCTGGCTTCGCTGCAAGTAACAAGAACCACCGCTCACGTGCCAGTGCACAACGATCATGGCTCCCGCAGGGATGGAGCAGCCACCGATCTCGAGGTCCTTCAGGGCCACCCTGGCGGGGTGCGCGGCGCCGATTGTTTTCGGGGCAGGGTTTTGGGGGTAAGTTTTGCTTGGGGCCCAGCGTGGCACGGCGGGGCGGGGCAGCCGCTGGGCCTGCGTCAAGCGGCCGCAGCCGCTGCTGCCTCCTGGGCGCGAGGGGGGGCGGGGGCCGAAGGCGGGAGTTGATGGTGCGGTACTGTATACACACCTGAGGTTGGCTGCGCCCGCGGGCTGGATGTACTGCACCTCCTTGACCACCGCGTCGCAGTACCTGGGGGCCGATCGCGGGACGATGGCGTGCGGATGGAGGGAGGTCGGTCCAGGAAAAGCAGTCGCAGGGGTTCGAAGATGGAGGGACTTGCAGTGCCAGAACGACAGAACGCTGCGTGCCACCTCCTTGACGTCTGCCCCGCAGCGGCGGCGAAAGCAGTCGGCCAATGCACCCACTTCATGGCATCCAGTGCGGCGCGCGTGAGGCCGGGGCCGTGGGTCTGTATGACTTTCTGCTGCTCCTCCCTCAGGCGTTCAACGACCTCAGGCATCTAGTTAATTATGGGCGTTGGGATGATTATTTGCGGGATGGGAGGGCAGAACGGGTACAAGTGGGGCGGGGCTGTTGCGAGGTTGGTGACGAGTCTTGTTGGTACTGGGCCCAAGGGGTTTGCACAAGACCTGGGGAGTCTTCGGCATGATCGAGGCGCCTGAAATGCCCAGTAACGCTGCGCTGCAGGCCCCCTGCAAGGCGGCGAGCGCGCGCAGCTGTGCCAGGCAGCTAACCGGCAGCTGCAACGGCATTCATATGAGCGGCACATGCTGGAGTGGGTGCAGATGCCCGATGCATCACTCGGCTTACTTCGATCACTTTCCCGTGGGAAGGCGCCCGGCCCCACCTGAGTGAGTGCCACCAGCAGTGTGGTGAAGCTGCTGCCGCTGGTGTCCACCCCGGCCATAAGCATGCCTATGCACTGGTAGGTGAGAACGTCCAGATCCTAGAGAATCGGGGGCGACGGGAGTGCAGGATTTGGGGGGTTGTGTGAGGGGATGCACAAACACTCTGGTGTGTGCGTACGATTGGGGTAGTGGCAACGGGTGGGCACGCTTGAGAGCGGATGGGGTGAAGCAGGCATGGGAGCCTTGGCATAAAAAAGGGCTGCAATGGACTGCACATTGAGGACAGGGGTACGCTCTCGCTAACACTGCACACTGGTGCTGCGACACTGCTGAAATTTGCTGATATGGTGGGTGGATCAACGCAGTAACGGGGCGCCCCATCGGAAAGCCTTGCCCCTTGTGAGCAGCGAGGGGTACACCCCTGCACCCCTGCCCGGAGCGGCTCCTCACGTGCAACGCGTCGGCGTCGCCCATAGCAATGCGCGCGTCCATCATGCAGCCCAGCACCGACTTCCTGCGCGCGGCATTCAAGGGGCCGGGGCCGGGCCGTGCCGGCGGAAGTGCAAAGGTCAGATTTGACGACGCGGCGGCGCTGCTCGTGCTCGCTTGCTGCAGGGACAGAGAACGACGGTTGGCTGGTGAGTTGTGCGCCGCATTACTACAAAGTTACCCTCTGCCCGCCAACCGACATGCTCCAGACACACCCGTTGCTTCTCCCGCAACCCAATCACGTCAGTCTTGCACTGCTGCTCAGTGACCCCATCGCGTCCGCCGCGACGCCGGCACTCCCAACAAGTTCGATGCCACTCGAGCCCCCTGAATGCACACTGGCAACAAGACCATGCACGCACGTGCACGCGCACACACACTCACGCAAAAACACTGACGTACACGCACACGCACACACACGCACACAAGCACGCACACGCGCACACACCTGGGCTTTGTGTTGCCGTCACTGCGGATGTGGCCCTCAGCCAGCAGCGCGTCACGCTGCTCCACCAGCGCCGGCTGCAGCATCTCAAACAGCCGCTTCTTGGCGGCCAGCCCCCTCCCAAACACGCTGTTGGGATCCTCCGACAGCTCCTGGTGTATCATGATGTGTTGAAGTTGAATGCGGAGAGAATCAAATGTGGTATACTTCAGTTGGGTGTGTGTGTGTGTGTATGTGTGTGTGTGTGTGTGTGTGTGTGTGTGTGTGTGTGTGTGTATATGTGAGGGACGTAGGGTCACAGAGACTTTTGCCGGAGGGCGTGGGCAAAGGGCTTGGGCGGTGTGGGTGCCAGGTGTAAGGCATGGCGAGTGTCAACCCTGGCCAGCCCCATTGCAAGCCCCTGTCTCGGGCGGAGCTGTCAGGGACGGGGCTGGGGCCGGGAGGGCAGCGGCAGAGGGGGATCACGCGAGGCCCGGGACTTGACAACACATTGATCTGATCGTGCAACCTCCGGGTCCCGCCCGCCGGCTGATGCGCAGCCACTAGGAGCCCCGACCTCGGCCACCCACCAGGGCCTGTGTGCCGCTGAAGAAGTCGTCCATGACGGCCTGCAGCTCCCTCTTGGCGGCAGAGTCAAGGCCAGTCAGGCCGACTGCGGAGGTGCAAGCGTGTGTGCGTGCGTGAGCGCGTGGACGTGGGTGTGTGTTGTTGGGAGGGGTGGAGGCTGGCCTGATTGCAGGCAAGCGGGCGTGCGGGACACGGGGGCGGGGCGGTTGACTGTGCCCGCAGAGGGGGGTGAGCAGGGTGAGCTAGACTGATGGGGGTGGCACGAGCCCTGGGCCAGCAGCGCAGGGCAGCTGGCGGAGCGGCGCGCCGTGGCACTGTGGGCAGGGAGCTTGATCAGTTGGCTGCTGGCAAGGTGGATGGGGCGGGCATGGGGGGAGACCCCAATCGAGTAGCAGAAGGGGCCGCCAGCGAGATTTTGTGCATGCAGTGTGATGGCTGCAATGACGTGCTCACCCAGCAGGCTGTTGGCGAGGTCAACCGTGGTGGTCCTGACCTCTGACCGCAGCTCAAAGGGGCCGCCGGCCGCCAGCGCCGCCAGCGACTCCTCCACGATGCGGCCCATGATGGGCACATACCTTTTTTGGAGGGGGTCGAAGTTTGACCGAGGTTGAACAAAGGGGTTGACCGAGGTTTGACCAAAGGGTTTCGGGGGGGTTTACACGGCGCATTTGTCATATTCCGAGGGGATGCGATGCAGCCCAGGCTTCGCAAGTTGAGGGGATCGGCCGAAGAAGCTAATTGAGAAGTTGTCAGTGCGCACACGGTCATTCGTGGCCGCCAGGCTGTCCGATCAACCCTGCTGCCAGCCTCGACATCAGGCGCCCGGAAATCCTTCACCCCCAACCCGCACGCACCCGTTGAGCGCGTCGTTTGAGAAGGCCGGCTGCATCAGGCGGCGCTGGGTGCGACGGAGGGCCCCGTCCGCCATGGTGGCTGCGGTGCGGGGGTCGGCCATCAGGGCCGTGAACGCCTGGATGGTGAACAGCACAACGAGGGAACCGGTGCAATGAGGCAAGGGGGTACGGTCGAGATGATATTGATTGAAAGCCAACTTGAGGCGTGGCGACGCGGGCAGGGGCAGGTGTGTGTGCATGTTGGGGGCGGAGGCTAGATCACAGTTGTGTCCCTGTCGACGCACGGCGCGGGTGCCGGAGCGGCGCGGCAAGGGGCCCCGGCAGCCATCTGTTGCGTGGCGCCCACCGGTGTGTTGGGGAACGCCACGCTGCGCGGATGAGGGTGGGCGGCGAGGTGGCGTGGGGTGGGGCGGGGTTGACGCTGGAG